TCAGCAATTCACCTGCTGAGAAAGAATCCTGGTAATTGTCAGCTTCAAAAACCAGAAACTGGACATCGGAGACACCAGTGATCATAGTCAGATCTGTTGTTGGGACGAGAGTGAGCAACATCAAAATCAATTTCAAACTGCTGCATAAGAATACACAGAGATACAGAAAGAGTATCATTCAATTAGCAGCATGAAAGCCAGTTACGTGACTAAAAAAAAAAACACTCAAATTAATGTTGCATTAATGTGTAACTTAGCAAAAATACAGAGGGAGTTTTCGCTGGACTCCTGCCATAACCCATCCAGTGAAGACATGTTTCCAATTTAACACAGAGGAGCTGCATGCATTTTACTCCCACAGGTTGATTATCATAGTGACATTGGAACAACGTCAGTGTGAATAACACCAGACAATGAGCACATCTCAAATAAAAAAAAGATCAGTCAGAGGAGGATGGCTTCTTGGTTCACTTCAGAGCTGTGCCCTAAAGTATACATACAGAATATAAAGGTGGAAAAAAAAACTAACACTTTATAACATACAAGAAAAATATATTCTCAAAGCTCAACTTCAGTATAGATCTATTAAGCCAATCATTGGTTTAATTTTCAGTTTTGATTAATGTTATTCTATTCTTCTCTCAGAGTCAGGGTCATTGTTCCCACTTCTCACACACATATCATCTACTACAACAGCTGTAGAAATGACTGTAGAACTAGAACTGTGTTTATGCTGGGTGTGTTCTATAGAATTTCTTGGTGATCAAGAGCCTAAAATTATCTAGAACATCTAGACTCCACCCCAAACAAACAGTTTAAAGATTCATCCTTAGTTAAACCAATTACATGTAATATAATCAAATTATTGTTATTGACAGGTTAGGCGCATTAAGCTCTGTGCCTTTATTTTTACATGTACTGCACTTTATTTATTATTAATAGCTACGTAAAAAATAGAAACCTTTTAAATTATTATTAAAATGGTCAAGAATATGGTTGTGGATCAACCAAAATTAGCTATTAGGCCAGTAAAAACAATTTAAAGAGTTAGTCTGGATTTATAACTCATCAGAAATGGTATTGATGAAAGTTACCAACAATCTCCAAAAACAAAAGACTTGTATTGTCATTTTAGATCTCAATGATTTTTTTTTTTAAGATTACTTTTAATTACAGAGGCTGGGTCATGCTGTAAAACAAACAGAGTAGGTTAATTTATTTTTGCTCAATAGAAATCAGTTTTCTCCACAAAAGTTCCACAGAGTTCTGTGTTCTGACCGATATGTTTGAGATTATATACACTGGCAAATATAATTGTACTTTTTTTTGTTTGTTTTTTTGCAGATAATTTGCAACAATACTTATCAGTAAAGATACATTTTAAAAATTGGTCATTCAAATACAAACATGTCTTAAATTCCTAAATAAATAAAGGATTGGATGACTTGTTTTTTGCTGATAGAAGCAAATTTTCATATTTTTTTAAGCACTTCAGGACTATGTAATCATAGCCTCAGTTTGGATTCCTACTAAAAACAAATGCTGCAGGTTTACTTGGGGTTCCTAGAGCTTCTAGAAGTAGAACAGGAGGCAAAACTTATAATGAATCTTCACCAGTTAGTCATGGAGTTTCTCAAGGCTCATTGCTTGGAACAAAACTCTTTAGTTTGTATATGCTCCGGTGGCGCAGAGGTTAGAGAGGTGGGCCTGTGATCCAAAGATCACCGGTTCACGCCCCGGCCCCGACAACATCAAAATTGTGGGTGGGGTAGGTGAAACACCCACACTTGCCCCCACCCTCATTCGCCCCACTCTGGGCCCATGAGCAAGGCCCTTAACCCCCACCATGTGCTCCCTAAAAAGGTCTCTCTTGAAAATGAGTTCTCGTGGCTCAATGAGACTACCTG